TTAATACCTAATAATGCATGTCAAGAATACAATGCATGTCAAGAATACTTTAATACCTAATGCTGCATGTCAAGAATATAATGCATGTCAAGAATACTTTAATACCTAATGCTGCATGTCAAGAATATTTTAATACCTAATACTGCATGTCAAGAATACTTTAATACCTAATAATGAATGTCAAGAATACCTTAATACCTAGTATTAGTAATAAAATTAACTTCTAGTATGCACATACTGAGATATACACCTCATCTTTGTGGACATACCGAGCTAAACACCTCATCTATAGAGACATACGCTGTTGCTCTCAGTGCATCGTTAGGACATACAGAAACTGTTGAATGTATATGAGTTTATACTAGTTACCTTGCACTTCACACACACACATACTGATATATATATTATATATATATATATTATATATATAATATATAATATATATATATATATATATATATATATATATATATATATATATATATATATATATAATATATATATATATATATATATATATATATATATATATATATATATATATATATATATATATATGTCGTGTCGAATAGGCAGAACTTGCGTTCTTGGCTTAAATAGCAACGCTCATCTTGCCATATAGGACAAGTGAAAATTTGTGTATGCAATAATTTCACCAAAATCATTCTGAACCTAACGAAAAAAATAAATTTCACTGTGTTTGTTTAGTATTAAATTATTGTAAACAAATCTAAAATATATATATATATATATATATATATAATATAATATATATATATATATATATATATATATATATATATATATATATATATATATATATAATAGCGTCTAGTAGTGTCAGAGAGGCCGGTCTTTATAATGCTGTTCACGTCGCGTTCCCATTTAGTGGCGACGGTTGTGTTAGGTTCCCACCAGCCATTCACTTCCTTTCTACCCGTTTTTTGTGGCCAGTGTGAAATGTTGTATTTTTTACACATTCTCTGATCCATTACCGGATTATCCGTATGGAATTTTTATGATATATTTTTTTATATTTCACGTGAGGACACAGGGAAGCACTTCTCTCAAGAGAAGTGTTTCTCTATTACACAACACTTCTCTCTAGAGAAGTGTTTCTTTATAACACAACACCTCTCAAGAGAAGTGTTTCTCTATAACACAACACTTCTTTCTAGAGAAGTGCTGTGTTATAGAGAAGATCAGTTCTCTCTTTTTCCTCAGGATGGGTTTAGTTTACACAGACGTTTTCATCTCTGCGTACCTTGTCTGACGTCTTAGAGCAGACATCAGACATGTGTTGCCATCTTCTGCAGAGCAGAAAAAAAATGATTCTTAATTTATTATTTATAATTTTTTGTGATAAGTTTTAAACTCGTGTGAGTCTTTTGGAGCAAGGACTGGCAGAGGCTCGATCCTCCGTACGGCTACTCTTTCTACCAGTCTTTCTGTGTCTATTTGTTTTATTGTACAGGCGACCATGAGAGTTATGTGTAGTCTTTCTTGTTTAGAAATAAATCCCAGTTATCAGGAAGGGAATCACAGAGGGGTTGGTTAAAGTACCGTCTTGTTCCTCTCTGACGATATGTACTCATCACTGGGTTAGGTCAGAGTACTGTCTTGTTCCTCTCTGACGCTATGTACTCATCACTGGGCTAGGTCAGAGTACTGCCATGTTGCTCTCTGACATTATGTACACATCAGAAGTGGATAGTACATTGTACACAAGATACAAATCATTTAGGATTAAGATTCAAAAATGAATGATTCGTAATCAGAAGATTTACAGCTGGGGATGTTACTTAGTCTGTGAAAGAAGTGTCAGGAAGACATCTTTGTGCAGTATTGTATACTTCGGGGTATATATGTGTGCGTATGAGTTATGTATACATGCATATATGTGTATGGATTTACTTATTTATTGACTAGTGGAAATGTATCATTTTAAAAATGACACAAATCACTGACAGTATAATAAAGAAGACATATGTGCAACACTTCGGTATCTTCAATGCCGAAACGCTCCGCCTGCAGAGTAGGCTTCTTCAGACTGGTTAAATAATGAGACACTTGTGTAACATTTGGGAATCTATATTTGGAAAACGTTTCGTTAGCCAGTTGTTTCTTCAGTTCGATACAGAGAAGAACGAAGAAAGATGAGGAGGAGTTTGAGGTAGTCAGTCCCTCAGCCTGGAATCGATGTGTTCATAGGTGACTAAAAATGGATACTCCAGTGGTACAACATCTTCTGGTACTTTTTTTTTTGGGGGGGGGAGGGGCTCGTTGCCCTCGTGGTACTGTGCTGGTCTCGTTTTACTCTTTCTGGCTCAAGCTGCTGACAAATCCCAGTTCTCGGAGAGTTAATGTCCGAGAATTCCTCGTCGGCATCTCTTGTTTTGACTATAATACAATAAACCTCGGGAAAACCCTTGTGTCTGTTGCTCCTGTTGATTCTGTTAGCCTACTAGGTGCCTGGTGCTCCTGTTGTCCTTAAAGGCTGTGGCCCGATTGCTTGTTTTGCCGCTATTTGTCAGTCTGTTGTGGGTCTCGTGCTCCTGTTATTATGTATAACACAGGAGTCGA